TGTGTGTGTGTGTGTGTGTGCTACATTCCAGATGGCCCAGGTCGACTGTGAAATACCATAGGTGACAAGTCTGTAATAAGTCTGGACACACTCAGACTTGATGTAAGGATCAGCAGAGTAGACAATGACATTGCAGTCTCTGGGTAGCTCTGGTGAGGCTGACTGTGAACTGCTGTGAACATGCCAGCAGGGCCTGGGTGGGGGCCAGGTGGCTATTTTTATACTAGTCTCATTCTGCAAGTGTACCCTGGACCCACTGGTTTGAAAGTTAACTTACTGATCTCTTACATATGCAAACGAGTTTCTCTTTCTTATCTCCACTGGTTACATTCCATCCTTTGAATCTTGAGCTAGGAAGTCCTTTCAGCATGAAACACAAACTTTTTATTTGAAAGCCCCATTTTTCTACCTATCCTTAACTTTACCTGCCCCTTCCTACCCTCCTCTCCAACTCCATTTATGTCTACCTAAGCCCTACTATCTTGACAAAGCTCTGACATAGGCTTTGTCCTGATTTCTACTCTTTTTACTTTTCTGCCTGGCAATTCCTTCAACTTGCTTCTCTTGGACTTTAAGCCCAAAGCCTTATTGAAATCCCTTTCAAACCTGCCTCTAAAGATAGCTTGACCTAAAGGACCAAGAGTCATAGGTTCTGGGTTCTTGATTTGGGGTTGTTGTTATCTAGCTCCATTACTACACAAGTTGCCATTGAGTCAGTTTCGACTCATGGCAACCCCATGTGTGTCAGATTATAACTGTGCTCCATACGGTTTCAGTGGCTGATTTTTCAAAAGTAGATCACCAGGCCTTTCTTCAGAGGTGCCTCGGGGTGAACTTGAACCGCCAACCTTTCAATTATCAGCTGAGTATATTAACACTTTAAACTACCCAGGGACTCCTAGCTCCATGACTTAAAAAAACAAACAAAAAAATCTGCCATCGAGTTGATTCCAATTCATGGCGACTCCATGTGTGTCAAAGTAGAACTGTGCTCTACAGTCCTTTCTTACAAAGCAACTCTGGATAGATACAAATCAACAACCTTTTGGTTAGAAGCCAAGCACTTAACCATTTGCACCACCCAGGGACTCAGCTCCATGACCATAAAAACCCGGTTGCTGTCAAGTCGATTCTGACTCATTGTGACCCTATAGGAGGACAGAGTAGAACTGCCCCATAGGATTTCCAGGGAGCACCTGGTGGATTCAAACTGCTCTGGTGGCTCGGTGGTTAAGAGCTCTGCTGCTAACCAAAAGCTTGGCACTTTGAATCCACCAGGTGCTCCTTGAAAATCCTATGGGGCAGTTCTACTCTGTCCTCCTATAGGGTTGCTACGGGTTGGAATTGACTTGACGGCAAAGGGTTTGGATGTTTTTTTTTGGGGGGGGCGGGGGGGTCTTCCATGACCAGGCACAACCAATTTCACTTCTCCTTTGTGAATCAGATCTTGAAATGGTTGGCTTGGGCACATCTTGCTCAGTTGTTGGCTGGGAGTGGTCCAGGGAGGGTGTGGCCTTGGCGTAAATGCTGAGGCAGATCCCAAAAGAGTGGCTGCTGGAGGCTGTCAGCCAACCACACTCCTCACAACTGGTTCTCTTGAAGGGAGGTCT